GAAAAAAAAAAAATTATCAGAAATTAATTATGGTAAAAATTGTAATTTTTTTTTTATATAAATTAAAAGAACATTATATTCAAAAACGATAAAAACCGTGAGACTTTTTACTCTGGATGATTTTTTTTTTTTTTTTTTTTATATTATGCGTACTTACAACTAGAAGACTCGCTATTAACAAGAATACGATTGTTTTCATCGTGATGCAATTCGTGTCGGGTGTATATCAGATTGGAAATTATATGATATTTTACTGATCCGAAATGTTACATTGTTATATAATATCGTCAGATTGCTGCCCGTACGTTACATTTTATAATTAATCATATTACGGAAAGTCAAATACATTTATCACCGGTGTATGTTTACACACGTGTGTAGGTAAAACCGAGAAAATAACCAATATATTATTAAATAGCAAAACATACGCAGTAAAACCAAGCTGGCTGTCATAACTCGCGTATATATTAGTAAATTATATTTGCCTGAAAAACTGTACTGCGGATGGAGGTGCCACTATTGTTGATAGGTGTGAAGTTGGAATGATAGAGTATAAACTAAACATATCTGAATACAAACATATTATATTATCATAATTTATTATGCGTGTTAAATATTGTCGTCATTGATCCTAGCACTTTGAAAGGAATTTCGACTGGGACGGTACTTTATACGGTAGTTATTTTTTGATTTTCCCAAGAGTTTTCATAATGAACGGGAAAAAACGTAAGAAAAACGGGAAAATGTACGAAATGTATTTGATTTTCAAATCGTAAATATTACGGACTTTCAAAACAAGTATATAACCGAATTCCGCTCAGAATCGATTTTTGTTAGTAAAGATTAACCGCTGCGTACATACATACATACATACATACATACAATTCCTCTCTATATCCTACGTTCCAAATTTCTCACCTATAACAGTGGCCCACCCATCGTGCGAAGCATGTCTGGACCTTTCTTCAGTATTACTCTGCTAAACAAATTAACTAACCATCTATTAGGTGTCTATTACGCGATATCAATAAAATATACATAATATACGTTTACATAATCTGAACTACAAGACTAGCCATTTGGGAAGCATACGGTTATTTTTATTATGGCATCTATGCAGCGTTTATTTCAAGGGGTGACGCGGTCGATATTATCTCCACGCAGAAAAAAATATAACACCCCTGAAAATGTATGACATTAATACGTAAACTACACATGTGATGAGAAATGTGGAATGAGTTATGAGCCAATTATGAATCAGTTTATTGATAATAATAAAATAACGAACATATTGTGCTGCCTATACATAAATAACCGTGATTTAATGAACTATAAGAAAATATCACGATTAAACGTATTTTAGTAATATTTTCTTCAGGTGTACGAATTTCTAGACCCAGATTTGCTTTTTGCGTTTCCCCTTGGAAATGTACGATTCTCCCATCCGGGGGGGGGGACAGAAGTTCTATAATGAATACTACATTCATGTTAGGTATCTCAGATTTCTGTGGAGGTCTACGTATGGTTTATATATACGAGCCACGCGATAGGTAAAAAATAACTATAATATTTTTCACCTTTCCGATGTGCTATATATTATTATATCACATCGATCAAATTCTGTTTATATGCGAAAATTGTTTTTGTCCATTGAACTAACACTAATGTCACAGTCGCAAAACAAATAATTGTATTAACGATTTACGTTTACACCTTAAACATAATATGAATAGATCAGAAATGATTGCAAAGTCATGAATACGAGTGTGATGCGAAAACATTGCTTGAGGATTTACATAAGACTATACGTAAGTGTACACTTGTATACATGTATATTGTATATGCTCGTAAAACACGTACCCGGTACCTTGCTACATATTTTTCTGGCGTGAATAAAAAAAAACACACACACATTGTTAAAATACATTGGCTTCAATGTATTGCATGTAAAATTGCCGTTATCCTGGGTATACTTTTAATAAGTCAATGATTTACACAAACGTATACAAATGATCATAGGCGTCGCCTGGAATTTTGTCAGGGGGGTGCATCGTGTATAGTATACGCTGATTTCTAAATAATGTTTAAATTATTTAACTTAAATACGTAGAAATATTTTTTCAAATTGTATGTTATTTTAGTTTTTTTCAACGGCTACAAAGTAATGCGGGCTAGTGGCTACGATTAGAAAATCCGATGATGATAATAGTGGCATCTATCTTACACGACAACTCGTAAGCTTACGCATGCGATAAAAGTGACCTATTTAGATATTGAATATACATGTGACAACTGACACGTCCTGTATATTTACATTATCCGATAAAATCTGAATAATTATTATTCGTGTGTTCATGGGTGTATATTTAAGCGTGCTTAATACCGAATACGTCGTAAATAATATATTATTTTAGTTATCACGTTGTGAAATTATTAATATATAAAAATGAGTGACATACGATATTTTTTGGAAAAGAAACGCAAGACAGAGTCAAGTCCATCAAGTATAAATGAAGGCAGTCATGACACAGGTAATTTAAGTACTAATAGTTCTATAGATATTAGCCAACAAAAAGAAGTGCAACAACTCTTTCATCGGTTGACTGTTTGTGCTAATAAATTAGATGCTGGACTGTATTTAAATTCCTTTGTTGATGATGAATTAAAATTAATGATTAAAATTATTGAAAGACCCCTGGGTTCCTCCGAAATCATATGATTTCAAAAGAGATTTGACCAACGACTCAACGAGAGTATTTCGCATAAAAAGATTTGCACTTTATCTAATAGTACGTGATAAAACCTTGCAGTCGCGTAGCTACAATCGTTGTCAGATTGGTTCGGCAATGACGTGATAACGGGAGACTAGGTGTTTTTCGTGTTTGGATGTTTTTTATACAAAACTACACGAACATATAGTGGCGTAAACACCCATTTATATTTAGTATAATATTCCATGATTTACATATCATATTAATTATATTATCCTATATATCATATATATCATATTATCCATGTATTTATCCTATATTCCAATTTTTTCGTTGAGTTTTAGTATTCAGGTGGTTGACACCGAAATTATTGCGGATAAAAGAAACGAAGAAGTCGACTTAAGTCGGTAAGAAAAACGAGAGAAAAAAACTATGAACAGTGTGAACAATATCGCTAATCAACGTTGTCATTTAAATTCAAATTAATTTATGTTTGTACAACCACAACACTCACTGTTACCAAGCATAAGATTAATTTCATCGTGATGGCGTCCGATTGAAATAATTCAGATTCAAGAGTGAACTGTATAATATTTGTATTATTTTTACTTTTTAGACTTTATTATATTATATAATTTTTATAATATGAACCGAATTTTATTGATAAATTGCATAAATTTTGAAACAATTATATAATAACGCTAATGTTATAATAGCTGTAAAACAAATAACTACCTGTATGGGGTACACGTGTATTCAAATGAAATATAATTTATATTAGTATATTAAATACATAAATTATTTTTAATATAAACTAAGATGTACTTTTTGTATTTTTATATAAACAAATACGGACATATTTCGCACGATGAGTGGAGCCTCTGTTGATGAAAATTTGGGAAGGTAGGATACGGAAGAAAATTTAATACATATCAGTAATCAAGATAAACCATTGCTTACGAAAAAACGACTCTGAGCGGGGTTCAGTTGATAGTGATGCTTTATCAACAATATATATGTCATATTATGGTGAAATAACTAAATAGGCTCTATATATTTTCTTGATATACTTTCTTGAATGATATTTGTTTAATATTCTATCAATTTCCGCAGTTTTCCTACGTTTTTCCTAGTTGTCTCGTGTTTTTCCCAGTTTTTCATATTTGCTGGGAAAACTCCTAAGAAAATTGAAAAATGATCTCTCTAAAATACCTCTAAATCTACCATGAAGGCGGTTATTTCACTGATAATAAATGTTTTATTATGGCATTGTATGGGTGTATAAATTTAATTTTTAATCTTTTAATTGGCTTCATTTAGTTTTTGTTTGCTAAATTGTCAATTTTAGTCTATAATCTGAAATCAATGATAGATTTAGTATCCAGGTGGCTGACGCCAAAATGATTCAAGAAAAGACGCGCAGCTATTCTACATTATTATTTAATCATGTTTTATGTGTACTTACTACTAGAAGATTCGCTATTAGTAACAATATAATTGTTATACGCATCGTAATTACATTTGAATTGGATAATTCACATTTGAAGGAGGTAATTTATGCTAATTAACCTTAGTCTTTAATTAAAGTCAAAATCAAATAAATAATTGATCAAAGGTTTATATTCACACAAATGCATACATGTACAAATTAAAAGTAATCAATATTATGTGTTCATATAATAAAGAATTTATGTAGGTGTTATTTAAACTATATGTGACATGTTATTATAAAAATGACAATATGTATACAATAGGTCGTTTGACTTTAAAAATAAATAAGAAAGCTGAACAAATTAAAAAAAAAAATAAAAATACGTTTAGCCCTTGATATCGATTTTAATTAAGGTGTGTAGGTATACATTTTCGTTTGCTTAACACCATATAAAACGAAAGGAAACAGAGAAATCGTTATGGATAGTAATATGTAGACTGTAGTATATGAGAACCAATTTAATGTGGTAAATAGTGAATATATAATTTGCTGCTAAAATCGTAATTGCCTTGTCAGGCAAAATTCCTCGGTGGAGTTTATATTGCCAGGATTTTCGATTGAATACACTTTTTTTGGTGAGTCTCTACGATGTTTTCAAGCAGTAGGCGACTGCTTAATACTAATAATACATTTGTCCATTTTTAATTAAAATGGATAATTTTAAAGGAAACTCGTAATACGTAAAATATAAGAAGTACGCTGTTTAAGCATCTGAGTAGTGACAACCATTAACTATATCACAAATAGCTTAACACATTAAATTTGGGTTACTGAAGTGTGAGCATGTTAGTATTTACTTGGTTTTTTTTCGTTTAATTTGGCTAATTTGTTGGTTTTAATCCCCGAATTTTGAGATAAACGGAAATTTAACCCTCCTAATCTGTTTTGAAAGAGAGACATAGGAAAATAACTATGAAGTTGATTCATCGATATTCTTTATTGTTAATTAAATAGGTATAAATTGATTTTTTTTATATGTATTTACAACCACAGAAGTGTGTACACGAGTAGATTACTTATTGGGAGGGAGTTTTCAATTTAAATTATTTTAAACCCTCCACATCCACCTCCCTTAACTACAACTTTAATCACAATCAGAAGACTCGCTATTAGTAAGCATAGGATTATTTTTCATCATAATGGCGTTTGCGTTTAACGTCTGTGCAATATTTTTATTTTTGTTTTGTTTTTTTTTTTTTTTGTTAGCAGAAAATTAAATAAATATTGACATCGGAGAATGTCTACACAAATGTGTACAGATGAGAAGTAACCAGTGTGTCACATTATATTATAATCACGTGAAAAATATAATTTCGCATTATATTCCTATATATCATAATAATAATTCATACCCATTAGTTCGCCGCATAATAATAATAATAAATTAATATTGTCTGACTGATCGAAAAAAAAAAATAATAAGTCAAATGAAACATAAACATAATAAAATATACTAAGAAAACAAATCAATATTCACGAAGCCACGGATAGATTTGTTCATTTTTTCATTTTATATAAAACGCAAAGTATTATTTTATTTTTAACAAAATAATACAGGCCGAGGCTTAAAAAACATAGAAGTACAGTTGAAACATAAAAAATTATTGACAACTTATTTACTATAACTATAGAGACATAATAATGACTCACTTTCTATGTGAGAAAATGATAAGTACGGACGAAAGGCAAACCAAGAAAGATGGGTCAACGTTGACAGTTCATATGAGCCGGGTAATTGGGAAGTGGTCAAGAAATAGTGACTGAAAGTAGGGAATATGGAATGGGATATATTTACGGCTGTGGCGGGTGTGGCGGGGAGAGAATTTAAAGTCGATTAGAGAAAGGAAACTAGGATAACTATTAGGGGATACTATATTATTATATACAACTCATTTCTAGTTGATGTTATTACTAATGTTCAGCACCAAATCCGGATTATGAGTATCAATCCGGTTTGAAATTAGTAATCCGGATTATGAAGATCTAAAGGTCTATAGGTGGTTTATTTGTAAATGCTGCTCATATTGTTATTTATTATAACAAATAATATTATATTAGATGTAAATAATATTAATAAAAAAAAAAAATTAAATTACACATTATTAAAAATACACGTATTGATAACACTGTGCTGTGTTACCGCATCACCGCTGCATACGGTAACATCGCATCGTGTGGCCGGTTCTTGAATTGGCTCCAAAATCCGGACTGACCGATTGTCTCCTTCAAGAATGTGAATAAAACGGATTGAATCCGAATCCAAATTATGTAATTGTAATCCGGATTCCGGTTTGGTCAATGGATTGATCAGAACTAGTTATTGCGTATATTATTTAAATTATCAAAATAACATATTTTTAATTTATGCTATGAAATTGAGTTGAAATTAATGGACATTAGTTATGTTTCATAATTAATGCTCAGCCGAAATGACATTTTTCTTCCGGTATAATCGATATTCCGATACTTGCCACAGATCAATATAACTATTTCAAATATTTAAAACCGAAGTCCATGAGTGGTTATAAACTATTGATATAAACCGATTTGTCGGTTAAAACTACAATTTTTTTTTATGGTTTTCATATTTCAGAAATATTATAGATATTGTTATTGATAAAAAAAACCTTGTCAATTTCATTAGCTTCCATCACCTTGTGTCCCTGCCATTTTTTTTTGGTCATGTATCAGATGTATAGAGATACAATCGGATTAACAGTCAGATGTATACAATAAACTATTGAGATACTTCGTATTTCCAATCTGATCGATTCAAATTCGGAACACTCGGATGATCGGACCGAAAAATTATCCAACTATTGTCCTATTACTTATTCTATACGTATGTTTAAAATAAATATATATTTTTTGTTGCAAAAATCAATACAAGTGCATGTTAGGTACATTTACTTCATGTACACGTGTGTTTAAAATATCGTCGAATATACAATAAAGAGTTGAAGGGTTTAAATATTGATAGAGAAACATGGGAGAATTTCAGTCAACCAATCGAAAGAATACAATTACAATATACGTATAAATTTTACTATACTGCAATTTTATTGCCTGCGTTATATTGCTTTTAATTCTTTTTAATTGAATAATTTGAAGTAATCATACGAGAATACAAATCAATGTTATTTTTAATAAAATAACGAAGTGGTAGAAAATATTGTTAAATATTTTATTTCAATCATACCATATCATTTATACCATTTAGCAATACACAAGTCAATTAAGTCAAGTAAGTACGTATATACCTAATATTTGCATACAGAAATTAGATGGTAATTTGTTAGTGCAATTTCCAACACCTATTGTTTAAACGCAATTTTCTATATTTATGTTAGTACACGATACTTGAATTAACTTTATTAGTTTATACTTCATTTTTCTACATTTATGAAAATTTACCAAGTATTGAACGTGGCTTTATTACTCTAATAGATTATATTTTGCCAACATTTTTTACTAAAAACTAAACATTTTTAATATAATAACATAACATAATATTATATAATGCAATTTATGTTACATAATAATATTACATGATTTGGTTGCACTACATTTTTACAACAACTTACTGCAACTGTAGACATTTTTATCATAATATATTTTGTAAAACTATTATACTTGAACACAGAAATACCGGTAAAAGAAAACATACTTATATTATGAATAAATGGGTATGTGTTTATTAGGAATGTTTTTTTTTTAATTATAATTTCATTCATACAAAGTAATTAAAAAAATATACATAATATTACATGTATGATAAAGCTTGATAAAACTATAAAACTGTAAACTTGTTGATTTTATTTCAATTATTTTTTACTAAATATCTGTACTTAATTGCCAACAGTATTATTTGAACCACCACCGCCACCACCGCCGCCACCGCCACCACCACCACCGCCACCACCACCACCACCGCCNCAGCGCCATTACCACTTCCTTGGCCAGCGCCATTACCACTTCCTTGGCCAGCGCCATTACCACTTCCTTGGCCAGCGCCATTACCACTTCCTTGGCCAGAACCAGATCCACTTCCTTGGCCAGAACCAGATCCACTTCCTTGGCCAGAACCAGATCCAGTTCCTTGGCCAGCACCAGATCCATTTCCTTGGCCAGAGCCATTACCACTTCCTTGGCCAGCGCCATTACCACTTCCTTGACCAGAACCAGATCCACTTCCTGTACCGGCGCCTTGACCTCCTGGAGTTGTTCCTGGAGTTGTTCCTGGAGTTGTTCCTGAAGGAGTTCCTGGAGTAACTCCTGGAGTATTTGGTGCGGGTGTTTGGTTTATTTGAATTACTTGTTGGATACCAGAATTACCATTAGTAGTTGTAGACCCAGGACTACCTGGAGTACCTTTACCACCTGCACCACCTGCACCACCTGCACCACCACCTCCACCACCACCTCCACCACCACCTCCACCACCACCTCCACCAGTACCATTAGGGCCTCCTGCCCCAGGTCCTCCAGCATCATCGTCATGACATGCACATATTAACATACAACCGGGACATAATCTGGAAGTATATTTACCGCCGCATCTTATTTCAAATGTCATATGGTCACACGAACCGCATGTCTTAGTCGATCGACCAGGTTCGAGAGCTTCTTGCCCAGCTGGTGGTTGGTAGTCTCTTCTGAATAAGCTACTCGAATGAGTTTCATGAACCTGTAGATTAATTTTTTATTTTATATATTTCATAGTAATATTTAACATAAGTGGCTACTTTACTGAAGACATATAGTGTATTATTACATACATGTATTACGTATATTTTATACGTAAGTGATTTAAGTTTTTTTTAAAAAAAAAAAATAATAATGATAATTTAAATAAATCTACAGTTATTACTATGATACAATTTTTTTGAAAAGTTTAAAAACTTTTACATAAAGGTTGATTATGTTGTTGCTATCTAGGTCTTAAGTAATATGTATGGGTCGGGCCGATATTGACGTTGCTGGTTTGCGATATTGACATATAGTTAGGTTTATCCGTATAGTTCAAAATATAAATAATATAGAGGTACGTGACTTCACATTATTAAAGGTGAAGTAGAAGTGGGATCCACAGTTTATTTAATTGAGTGAAGGGCCTATAGTAACAAAAGTGGTTATGGCTACATAGCCGTAATCACCTATGTTTGAAACCGTTAATCATTATTGGCACTTCATTGAACCAGAAACAGGGTTTAATACTTAAGGTATACAGTCTCATGCGAACGTCTCAAAGTTCAATACTGCATTAAAATACCTAGTGCCACTAACTTATAGGACGAATTGTTAATGTGAGAGCCACGCATTGGCTCTTGGATTTCTAGTAGATGTCAAAATCGATTTTTTGATGCAGAAACACACATTTTTAGAAATTTTTAACGTGAAGTTCATTTTTTAATGTTAAATAGCATATTATTATGATGTATAGAATTTTCCTCTCACTCGCTCAGTAATATTGGCATTGACAGTTGATAATAATACTAACACGACCATGTAATTAATTTTTCCAGAAATATAAATAATGAGAAGTAAGAATTGTGACAACAAGTTAACTTTTAATATTTTCGAATAAAACAATAGGAAAAAGTTACAATCACTAGAGGTATTAGCGGCCGTATCAGTGGTCGAAGTATTAAAATAATCTTGTTTGACTTGAGAACTGATGTGAAGATAATTATTTAAGATTATATGATAAACTTTTGGTAATTTATTATAAAAAAAATACAAATATACTAAAAGTAAAACATAGATTCAAACTAATAGTAGACACCAAGTACAACGTATGATGAACTTCACGATAAATTTTCAATCGTTTATACTTGGCAAAACAATTCCGTCGACATAAAATAAACACAATTACCTTTGTTAAGTATCACCCTGATAAAATTTCCTTTTAGGAAAGGTGTTACACTTACAAATCAGAGCAAAATTGCTGGTAGAAAATTTTTCCACCGAAAAAGTAAAATAAAAATAAACACCATTGTAAAATCAATACATTCCTCGCTCTGTCCAGAGTCTAAAATACTAGAAAATATCGAATGCCTATAGCTAATATTTATTTATTTCAAAATTGACAGAATGTTTTGAAAATTTTACCACATCTAAAAAAGGATAATAATGTAAGTATTTTGCGAGAACTACGATATTTGTAATTGAATTACAAACAAAATTTAAAAAAAAAATTTTAAATAAAAAAAACGTTATTGCATATAATTATCTGTTTTCTTTCCTTCACCTTCCCGCAACTTTTAATTTTTCAAAAAAAATGATACATTTGAAAATCAAATTATGATTTATGAAAACAAAAAGAACACATAATAAAACCAATATATTTCTTGCCTTACTTAGTATCTAAAAGAAACATTGTAATTGTGTAACTGGCTTGCACATTTATACCAAATAGTGTTTATAATCTACCGGCAGTGAATTTAAAATATTGGGTTGCCCCCTCAACCCCGCCAGGAAAGTCTGGTACCACTTATGATCTACATAATTTAATTTAATTATAATACAAATTCGTCCAATAGAAAATAGTCATCTGGAGATACTTGTCTAATCCAACTAAATGAACAAAAATACGACAGATCCATACATAACATAACTATCGTATACAATATCTACCTATGGTATTTTTCTTTCTAGTAAATAATTTCAAAAAAGTGGATTTGTTGTCTTTCCTTTTCCCGAATAATTTTGAAAAGTTGACTTGTCTTGTTATTGTGCTGAGCCCTTGAATTGTAAATATTATTTTTTACCTTATTACTATCATCTGAATCGTTTAAACATAATATAAATAGAATACTTGTCTAAGAAGTTACCTATTCGTATTTATTAATATGCATTATTGTTATTCCGCATTATAGATGTAAATGTAAATGCAATTTTTACTAAACGCGAACTATACATGCGCGAAACAATTGATTGTGATCACAACAAAGAAACCGACCCGTTGTACACTTATGCATTGTAAAATAGATGATTTTAAATCAACAAAATACGATAAATAATTTCGAAACGTATGTCCTGTAGTTTTACGGGACGGCGTGATACACCGTATGTAAAGAACTTTAAAACAATTTTAGGATTTCTACCAAAAGACAATAAAATATTGAAAATAAAAATGGACATTACGTATTAATTATAATATTTTCTACCATTTTTGCGTTGAAGCAAAATCCTCCTTGCGTATTTATCGTAGGTACAAATGTAATAACATGTAAAAAATTTAATGCAACATATAGAATTTCGTTCAGTATATTTTAGATTCTATTGAAGTTGAAATCTGTGAATTAAATTTTGAATGGTATTATTTACAATACTTATAACGTTTAAATCGATATTAAATGTTCCCCCACAAAATATCCCCGGTAAAGATATCCCCAGATATATTATCCCTTATTTTATATTTCTATTTTTTTAATATTTATTCTATGGACAATATAACATGATATAAACATGATATAAATGTATAATTTGCATTAATTAATAATATAAACAATTTGGTGTTTTTAACAATGTATATACATACTGTATTATCTTAAAAATAAACATTTTGTTTTTTTAATGAGGTATGCATAATAAAAAACGTTTTAAAATTACGTTAAGATTAAATCTAAAGTATAAATCTATTAATAATGGTTAACACACCGTGGTTTACATTGCTAATAAAAAACGATTCAGAGCGAAGCAACACCTTAGGCTTTTCAGCAGGGTTTCTAGGAGAAATAGTGTTACAATATAGTTAAATAAACAAAAAAAAAATAAACATCCTAAATATTAAACAAGGAATAATATTACTGAAGATATTTTTAGTTGGGGATATTTTTAATTAGGGATATTTTCAACGAGGGATATTTTGATGCAAGGGATATTTTTGGGGTGCACCGTTTACACAAAATATGTTTAAGGTTAAAAATATTAATATGATTTCCGTATAAAAAACTTGGCTTTATTAATTTTCTTTGTGAACATTTTTTAATATTTTATAAAGATTGTAAGGATGGATTCCGGCAAAAAAAACGTAATAATAATAATGTTTAATATTTTACCGTCCAGAATTTTCCTGCAGTAATATTATTTTAGATTATACGCGCAAATTTCCCGTCGCCTTTCAATAAGCACGAGGAGTACTTACGATTAGAGAAGATCCGATTAACAGGAACACGATTGTCTTCATCGTGATATCAGCGCGAGAAGTCAGCTGTATTCCGACTTCCCACTTTGTTAGCGAATAACCGTAATCGAACTCAAATACAGCTTTTATATAGGCATAATTTATTATATTGAATATTTATTACGCCTATACATTTTATGTTACTAAATAGGTAACCGATAATTAGCAAAATGTATTTAATTAATTAATAACGAAAAATCGCATAAAAACGTCAGTAACGGTCGTCGTTTGACATTATACCGAGTTTTTGTGTTTACACAATTGTAGATCGTTTAACCTGTTTAAATGGAAAATATTCAACTAATAATGCAAACAATTTGAGTGATATATCGCGATAAAATTTACAAAAAAAAAAAAAAAAACTATTAAAATTTGTCGAACGTAACGTAACGTCCAACCTAGTAATACATAATTTTATTATAATATACAAGATTACGATCGTATAAAATAAACACGTCGTGTGGCCTGAAAATAAGTGGCCGAAAACTGTAGATTTCTCTTGGTTGTCCCGTTGATATTTTCCAAACGTTTAAATTATAAGTTTTTTCTATATACTATACCTACCCATCGTCACTATTATTATAGTAGTCTCCGTACAAAATGAAGTAGCATTTTTTTTTTTCTGTGAAAATATTACGCATATTAACCGTTTAAAAATACCGAAGTAATTTTTTGGACTGAAAATAGTTGATAATTTCACATATTTAGGAAGTAAAATCACAAGTAACGAAATAATAGCATGTCGTGTGACAGAAAAAAGAAGTAGGAAAAGTAAAAAAATTTGCTTTAAAATTACACGACAAATTGAGAACCTATTTTCGAAGTTGGTTAGAAGAAGAACCACTTCATCACAAATGTGACAAGTTTAAAATCTAAACGTTCGGAAATATACGGGAATTGTTATTAAAATGTCAGTGTAAAGCATGGCGCTGTACGTAGCGTCGACAGTACTTAAGAGATAGCCAAAATTAACGCCTTTGAAATTTGGCGTCGAGGAAGAGCTTTGGGAATTTTATATTTTACATCTATGTATTAGTAGAGCACTGGTATATTATTTCCTTGCTTTCCAATAAAGCAAATGTTTGTTATTACTATATGTTATTACTAACCCCAACTGTTTGAGGTTAACCTGAACTTCTGAAATTTTTAATTCGGGTTTTTAAATTGCACTTACGGCTTTCTCTCAGCTTAATAATCTGTATCTGTTCGATGATTACTATCAAATCATTAAACTATACCATAATATTGCAAACATTTTAAAATTAAAATATGAACAAATTGAAAATGTAAAGAAAATATGTTTATCAAATTAGAATGTATTATACATTTTTATGCTAGTTCTAAACTTCAATTATATTAACAATTTATTTTCTTATTTGGACATATACATTAAAACTCTCCGTCTAGATTTTCTTAATATATTTACAATTTATTAGTTCTAAGTCCAGATTATTGAACTGTTAACATTGGTTTTAATCAATAACTGTTTCGTGCAATTAAATCAATTACACTATCATTAATAATACTACACAAAATATGTTTTTTTCTACTGGATGACTGAGTGACTCAGGCACTACAATAATATTACCGTATTATTTAATAGAATATCAATGTATTATCAACAATCGGCCCATGAATTAATTATTTTGAATGGACCACTTAGTTTTGATCGGTACCTCGCCGGCCCAATACGACCCTGAGAACAACCGTCTCTATTATAAATGATTGTGTATTTTCTAAACAAACTTTTCTTCCAACAGACAACATAGGAAATTTTCTCTTTAAAACACCGAAAATTCTTTTAGTAAGGTTTTTTTTTGTTTATTTGTGACTCGTTGAAAAGTATATCGACATCTGTAATTGGAAGTAACGACGGCAGAATAAGTTGTGTTATTATACCATAACCTCTATCTCAGAGAAGCAATTTAGAACCCATTCCTTCAGTTTCAAATTGCTTCCTAAGGCAGAATTACCAAATATTAATGTGGCTCATACGAAGATCCAGACCATCTAGCTAATTCGTTTTGGATTTTCAACGTTAAATAATATAATGTATAGCTTGAACATTCCAAGAAAAAAGCCTTTTCGATTTCAGCATTATTCGGCTTGATCTCCTGAAAAAACAATTGAATTAAAAATAATTAATCAATGTAATTTATAGTACATAGGAGGCCGCCGAAAAATAATTACCTAAAACGTGTAAATCCTGGATAAGGAATTTTTCGGAAAGTATAATTTCGGAATCCAAAAATATAGAAATCGTATTGGTCCGGGAACGTATAATTCTGGAATTCACCACTAACTATTACTGTCGACAAAGATAACACCATGCTAAATAACACAATTATTTATATTTATATAATTATTATTTATTTAATTCATGAAAAATATTTTCCCGGTTTATACGGTCTGGATATATATATAGCCCTCCTTTATAGGAAAATGTAGGTTCATGGTAAATTCATGGTAAATTTTAAATTTGAATGTAAAAAGTAAATTTCAATAAAGGGAGAGTAGAGATGTATCAGTTGTGTTGTAGCACGGCGCGTGGTGTTTTATTTGTGCTCCACTACTATCCAGGGCTGGCGCTAGGTATTGCGAGGCACTAGGCAAATTATTCCAAAGGGCCCTGAAAATATCTTTTACAAATCAATATAGGGAAAACCGGTTCATTTTACTCACCTCCATAATCGGGTATCGGTGGCTGAAGGGGCCTCCCTATTAATTTATTTACATAATAAATAATAATTTATTAGTAAAATAAATTGGCTCACTTCTCCGCTACTATGTTGACCTACAAGCGATAGCGCTTGTGGCATTTACACAGCATTTTTTAAACAGACAAATATGTATACCTATATAAATAATTAAAAAAAAAAAAAAATGTATAGATATTTTACAATTATTTTCAAAATTATCAAAAAAATCGCCAATTTGTATAATAATAGAAATACAATGGAATAATAGTAAATATAATCATTATTTTAATGCAATATAATAGATATTTCCCTAATAATTGTAGGAATCTAATTTTTATTATGAAAAATAATAGTTTACATAATATTATGTAGGTATAATATATAAGGTATAAATAAACAGTGTCAAAAGAGTAAAGACGACTACTTCGTACAACGTCAAAATACGAAAGCGCTCGAAGGCTGGTTGATTTAATAGAGCATAAGTAGGTACATAAATAAATAAAAATAATTGGCTAAACTAAAAGTTAAATCATCGGACTGAATACTCATACTCGTACTCATATTTATTTCAGAATAAACTAATATACTTTGATAAGTACCAAAAAAACGTTGTAAAAAAATTATATAGATGTATAATAATATTGTACATCTATATCTATTATAATCAGTGCTCGAACTGGGAAAATTAAAGTAGAGGAGCCCTTTCCCCGGCGAACCCTCCCCCTCCTCCACAATTCAAGCAATGGTTATAATATTGAGATAGTTAATAATTCATTGTAATATTTAGTTTTGACAAGCAATGTATTCGTGTGTTTATCAATTAAGGCAAAAATCGGAAAAATCCACGATTACCGACCAATTCGAGATTATTCCTTATCAAGACTATATTATTATAACTTATTATGATTATTCAGTTGTAAACAATTTAAAAATGTATGAAATGTATATCTGACAGTACACGAATAGAATTATTTTGCGAGATAAATAATTTAAATTGGTTTAATAGTAAAATAAAAATTGATACATCATAATAAAACTAATATGAAAATATTAATATTTATTATAAAAATGCGAGGCCCTATTAAGCGCGAGGCCCTAGGTGGGTGCCAAGATTGCCCCCTTTCCGTCAGCCCTGAGTCTATCCTCCTACTTAAACTTAAAAGTGAAGTATATCGTTTACGGGTAGATGGAAATCAAAAATGTTGGCACCAAAATGTATCGAAAGTAATCCTCCGTCTATTTATTGAATTTTTAATATAGGTTCTCATTTGAAAAACCAAAGTTGGTATCGCCACAGGATACTCCTTAAATATTGTGAAAAATTTAAGTATTCGAAAATATCGGCATTAACTACATTTAAAAATTCTAAAAATCAGAATTTGCACAAAATATGCAAAATTTAACCAAAGAAATAGGGTGAATACTGAATACACTTAGTGAACCACGCCGTATATTTCCTGTATATAAAAAAAGCTGTTTGAAACTGTTGTCGTACAAACATTATTTTATATTTTTTTTTATTGAATAGGTAAATATCGACTGAAGTACGAGTACATGTGTATCAGAGTCATGTTTATGTGTAGAGCATAGCTAATTAAAATATAATAACAAAAAAAAAAAAAGTCACTGTCGAAACTAATGAATAATGAAACTGTCAACAAAATACCGACCTACCTTTTTCATTATTTGATTTATACATTAGACATAATTTGTGAACAATTTATCCGTTTGTACACCCGTAAGTCAATAACAAACTGCAGTGTCAAATCACTTATTATATTATATGTTTGAAAAAAAAAAAAAAACGGTTCAAATATAAATCTTGCGAATTATTGTTTGACGTTTGTCGACAACGGCGTTTCATAAAACATTTGTTAATTATTTTTTATTAATTAACATAAATAACACATTATTACTAAATAAATATTAATACAAAATAGGTCGTAATCATACAAGGTGATTCTATTATCACGAACCATTAAAAGAATGTCTAATTGTGAATGAATTTGACTTTCGGATATTATACTATTGTATTATCGTTTCGTGGTATTTATATGTTTGCAATAACATTTTACTGCAAGAAAAAGCGATATTTTTCTGAATATTTGCTTTGATATTTATATTTTAAATACTTTTTAACTCCTCGAATTTATTTTTGAAACTGAATATAACTTTTAAAGTTGTAAGGAACAACTTGTAAAGTATAAACTATAGGTAAGCGCGTTGTAAGCGTCTGATATGAATGTTAACAATATAAATGTTTTCCATGTTTTTTCTTGAATTTTCATACTTGTTGGAAAAAAT